TTGCACTCTTTTCGATCAATGTTAAATAGTGTCGTGAGTCAATCTAAAAGTGCGTTAATTACTTACACTTAAGTCTATTTCCCAAGTAAATAGTCGATTAAAATTTCGAGTTACACGTATAGACTCATTCAACGTGTACTCGTACTACGGAAATCTACCTACAAACATAAAAAAGTAAAACTTAACGTAAATTTAGTAAATTTTGCTAACCGATTTCTGCCTCAATGCACTTATTTATGATATACCTACTTAGTTAAATACTCTGTATTTTATACACACCTATAGTTAGTTACGTGTAATCAATTTTGTAACGTAACGTTTACTTCTACATTTAACTGCCCAAACTAGGGGTACAATATTTACTATTTTCTTTGTCTTTTACGTTTGCAATTAATAACTTTGCGCGTTATATATATTTAACGGCCCAAACTAGGGGTCATAACTGTATAATACAGTAACATTTTCCTTTGAATTACAGTATAGCAAAATCGTATTTTCTATGATTGCAAGCGTAATTAACGTTACGTAAAGTAAAGATCCTACATAATTACCCAAACATAAAACTATATTTTCTCCCATTGTTATTGCTCCTTGTTAAATGATAAATCTTTGAATTTAGAGTTGCGTAACTATTAAACACTTATTATTTCCATTCGCTTTGCATTTGAATCTCTTCTACTATAGCCTTTTTTTAATTCATAAACTGCCCTTTCACTTCACGCGCTTAAATACGCGCAGCCATTGCACATCGCTTAGCCGAGCCGCCAAACATTCAAGGGTGGGCGCGCTCGTTCACCGCTGCACGCTTGTGGTTGCGCGCGACCCGCACCCGCGGCGCAGCGCTGGATCTACCCGCTTCGCCTCAACGGATTTTGGTTTTGCTTACACATTCTTGCCCATATCTTTATATTTTTTATCATTTGCAAATCAATCATGGCTCAAAGTAAAGAGTCGGACCAGGACGAACTGGCTTTGTTAGTTCGTAAACGTGGTACAATTAAAGCGCGATTAACAGTATTCAAAGATTTTCTCTTGGTTATTGAACAAATTGAAACCGATAGCATCACGACAAAAAATGTAAGTGATATTTATTTGAGACTACCAAAAATAAAATGATTATTTTCAGACTTTGAAAAGGTACAAACACAAATATAAGCATTAAATTTCTAAATCAATTTAGATAAATGCTTACAAGAGAGAATCGAAATTGAAAGCCAGTTCTTCGCGGTCATGTATAGTGCCCAGGACATAGTGTCAGAACGCAAGGAGCACGACGAGGCTGCCTAGTGTAGACTTTCACTTAGAAATAACTGTAGTAATAACAACAATAATAATAACCACTTAAATATTCAAATTCGATTGCCATCTATAAAATTATCGAGTTTTGATGGAAATTATTTGAAATGGCTTGAATTTCGGGACACCTTCGACTCGCTCATCAATGCGAATGACACTATACCTGACATCAGCAAGTTTCACTACCTCAGGTCTCCTCTAGAGGGTGGTGCCGCTGTCACAGTAAAATCAATTGAGTTTACCAGTGAAAATTATCAGGTTGCCTGGGAACTACTGTGTAACAGATATAATAACAAAAGAGTACTGATTAATAATCACCCGGATCTGGGGGCTCGTCCTTGCCTAGCAAGCTTCAATAATTAGAGTTATGGTGGAGTGGCCCACCATTTTTAATGAAACCTAAATCGGAGTGGCCAAGCGCTCCTTGAGAAAATGTTGAGCTTCCGGAGCTCAAAGTAAATACATGTTGTGAGATTTTTGTCAGTAAACCCTTACTTTGATGAGCAGGATTTGATTAGGGTTCGAGGTAGAATCCAAAACTCTATCTCTCTATCTCTATCTCTCTATAAACGAAGATCGGTCGTTCCGTCGCGGACGATCAGTCGCTCCGTGGCGGACTGCTTGCTTTTGCGTCTGTTCCGTCCTCCGCGCACCGGTCTTCCGTCGGCGTAAAGGCTTTGTCAGACAGGACGCGTACTTAGCGCGCGTCAGAGCGTTAACTTGACGCCGCGCTATGACGGTAAGATGTGTTGTACTACCATCGTAGAATACCGTCAAACAGAGCGCCGACGCTAGCAGTACGCAACGCTCTGTCGCGGCGTTAGGACGCTTTAACGTCGGGTGTTGTATTTTTTTACAAATTTTATTTTAGCGTCGGAGTGAATAGGTGTAAAATAATAATAAAATACTGCATAATGACCGAAAATTTGATAGAATTGGTTAGAAAATATCCATGCTTATATAATACGAAGGATAGTTCGTATAAAGATATATCAATGAAGGCAAAATTGTGGGCACAAATCGGAGAAGAAATTAATGAAACTGGTAAGTAAAAAAAATCATTTATTGTTTAAAATAAGACACAAATTGTTCACGAGTTTCGAATGCTGCAGTCGTTGATCTTCTATTTGTTGGACGATGAGTTATTAGAGCACGCATAGGTACGTTTTCGTCTTCCGACTCCGGAGTTAATATCGCTGTACCTTGTTTTGTTCGTAAGTAATTATGTAAACAACATGCAGCTTTAATAATATCAATTGCTGTGTCCACATCACAGTCAATAGGTCGTAAAAAAATGCGCCATTTTTGTGCTAATATTCCGAACGTATTTTCAACCACCCGACGTGCCCTGCAAAGTCTTTTATTAAAATTTGTTTTTCTTTCGTCTTGTGTAGCTAAGGCTCTTGGGAATGGACGCATCAAATATGTTTTTAAAGCAAAACCTTCGTCGCCGATAAGTACATGAGGTACGGGCTCCTCGGTGCCTGGAAGAGGTTTATCTGGCAGCAGAGATTTCCCGTGGATATAATGCCGATAAAATATTGAGTTCTCGAATATACCACTATCACTATGCCGCCCGTAACTACCGACATCTATGACGGTGAATTTGTAACATGGATCGACTATAGCAAGAAGAACTACAGAAAAAAACTTCTTGTAGCAAAAATATTCTGATCCACTATTTTTGGGACACTTTATAGAGACATGTTTCCCGTCAATACTACCGACACAATTCGGGAAGTTCCAGGTTTCCCTATAACCCTTTTCTGATTGTTTCCATGTCTCTTCAGTAGGCGATGGCATATATTCTGGTTGTAATGTATTCCAGATTTCTGTACAGACTTCTTTTACAATACCACCGACTGTTGAACGATCTACTCGGAAGGAGAAGGCTATGGTCTGATGTGAATCACCCGTAGCTAAGTATCTGGAACAAAATAATACAATTTATGTTTATTTTACAGGTGAAGTAGCTAAAAAAAAATGGAAGAGCTTGAGGAACAATTATATGAGATACAAAAAAGAGGTTGCAGGTACTACAGGACAAGCTGCAAAAAAATTTATAAAATGGCCTTGGGCTTCCCAGTTACAGTTCCTTGACTCAACTGTGACAGATCCAGAAACAACTTCAAATATTCGAGAACCTACACCAGAAACATCGTCAGCTATAGAAACTCAATCTCCAGAGACGCCTCCACCACAGACACCTCCACCAAGAACACAAAGCGCACCCCCGCCAGAAACACCTCCGCTAGAGACGCCCCAAACAAATGACACAAATAGTTCACGAGCTAAGAAAATAAAAAAACTGACAGCGAAATGGATAAAGTTATAAATTTTCTTCAAAATAAAAAAAAAACAAGAGTATGATGCCATAGATCACCTATTCCAAAGTTATGCCCAAACATTTAAAAGTTTTTCCAAAGACAAACAGATAAAAGCCAATGTAGAACTAGCCAAGTTATGTGCAAGCATAGAAACAGAGGAACTGCAAGAAAACGTCCAGATATTGAATTCACCACATTATTCCATTATTAGTACCGAAGACTCCGTCTGCTATGCAGTACCCAATTCTGTGCCCGAAGATTCATCCCCAGTAGTTGTTATAGATTTATCTAACAGTACTTCATCATACCTGCAACAGCCTGAGCAGCTACGTCAACCACTACGCGAAATCGATATTTCAGGAGCATCGACATCTGATTACAACTCAGCTGATTTTGATTGATTTTCATAATAATAACGCAATGAACATGTATATAAAAAAATAAATATTTCTTACCTTAGACAGATTACAAGTCTTTCTCTTGTAGAAATAGGCGTCCTCCAGTTTGTGGTACATTTGCTTATTTTTGGGATGAGCAGTTCATGTAGTTCTTTGAATAAATCTTGAGACATACGAAAGTATGTAAAAAAACGATCTTCATGTGATGCAAGCTCACGACACAAACGATGATATTCTCCTAAATCCTTTCTCTTTTGATTGATGTCGTGCACCCATACTCTTTTTCTCTGTGACCGTGATAAAGCATATAAAAGTAATAATTCTTCCACATCTGAATCACTCGACATCTCCATAACGAACAAACTCTTCAAACTGCTAACGATCTGCACTACGCTTTGGGGAACGGCGAAATGGCGACGCCGTATCATCGAGTCAGCGCCCTAACGCGCGCTAAAGCGTTCTGTTTGACGAAGCCTCGCGCGACGTTAAAACGGGACGCTATAACGCTACTACGCAGCGCTAAAATACGCGTCCTGTCTGACAAAGCCTTAAGATCGGCAACGTCGCGTTTCAGGTATTTGTATGCATCGCGCCACATTCGGCCGATAACTCGCGGTGACGGCGCACGCACAGGATGTTCGACACTGAACGATTTATTATTGAAGTGCAAAATAGAGTTTGCCTTTGAGACTCCAGAGAAAAGCCGGATAGAACGGCAAAGAAACGAGCATGGGAAGAGATAGCAAAATTATTTTTCGACAGTTGGGATAGTGAAATAGAAACAAAACAGCGAGAACTTGGTGAGTTTATCACTTTATTAATTTGCCATAGGTATAAGTAATTATAAGAATTCGTATAAAATTGAAATCGTAAATTGAAACTATATAACTAATAACAATAACTATATCAGTCACCCTACCTAAATGAAGTTATGTTGCCACTCTAGTTTACCTTCTTCCATAAAATATTTTTTAAATAATTATCTCGTATTTATGGCATAAGAAAGTCTAGATGTATTACAGTTTGGTAATGTAGGTAGATCAAAAGTTAACAATTCGTCGTTGTATTTCAAACCGTCCCGTCTCCGTACAAAGTTATGAAGAACACATGTTGTTTTTACTATATCTGTAGCAAAATCGGGATCAGTAAGTATGGTCGTATGAAGAACTCTCCACTTGTTAGTCAATATGCTGAAGGTACATTCCACATACCGCCTTGCACGAGATAGGCGGTAGTTGAACGTACGTTTTTCTATGTCTAATGTTTTATTGGGGTAGGGTCGCATAAGATGTTTATGTAAAGTGAAAGCCTCGTCAGCTACCAGTACAAATGGTAGTGCTGGGCCGGTAGTACCGGGGAGTATTTTATCCTCCGGTAGGTCTAACATGTCATGGTAAAGTTTTTGTCCAAAATTTGAACTTCTAAAAGACCCAACATCGATAGAAATGTAGCAATAATTAGAATCTGCGACTGCCATAAGAACAATTGAAAAATACTTTTTATAGTTAAAATAGTTAGATCCGCTATTGTGAGGGTTAATTATTCTTATATGTTTACCATCCACGGCTCCTAAACAGTTTGGAAAATTTGCGTATTTATAGAACTTTTCTGCCTCTTTTAACCACGATTCCTTACTTGGCTCGGGCATTTCAAGTGGTTGCAGTAATTTCTAAATTACTTTACAAGTTTCTTTTATTATTTCTGCAACAGTCGATCGTCCCATTAAAAATCGTGAGATAAACTGTTAAAATTCATTCCGATAGACAAATACCTGAAACAAAAAAACGTTAAACTAAAGTGATACATACAAATACAACAAAATTTCGTAATAATTGTCCGATTCTGTGGCTCCAATAAAGCAAGTTTTGGTACCTACGGCCTTTACCTACCGTACCGTACCTACCTAATGTCCATCATTATAAGCACTGTTCAAGATACGAACCAGTTAGTAAGAAAGAGCTCGCATTTTTTTTATAAATCTACCGCACCAAAACTTGAACCTTTGAAAAAAAAACCTTTTTCCATTCCATCTAGTTGAGCAGCTGAATCAGCAATTAAAAAATTAACACATTTTATTTATTTTTACAGTGGATGAAGTTCAAAATAAATGGAAGCACTTAAGAGATTATCACGTGAAAGAAAAAAAAACAAGAAAATACAAGAAGTGGAAGTGCTGCACCTAAGAAACGTAAAACTCGTACGTTGAATTGCTGCGATTCTTGGATGTGGTGAAAGAGTCCCGGGTGTCATCGGGGAATATAAGCGCTCCGGTAGGTGATAATGACCAAAATGAAAATTCTTGTGATGAATTATCAACTAATACAAACGCTCAACCGAGTAATGTCAACTCACAACAAACTGTAATTGAAAATTTGAGTCCACCTCAAACTGATGAAGTTCCAGGGACCTCTAAAATAAAAAGAAAACCTAAAATGACAGTCTTTCAACAGAGTTTAATTACAGCAATGAATAAAAAGCAAAAATCACCTAAAGAAGTTAAAGATGCCGACACGCAATTTTTACTTTCCTTACTTCCTCAAATCAAGAGCCTGAATGAAAGACAAAATTGTGAGTTCAGAATCGAAGTGATGAATTTGATTTATAAAATCAAATATCGTAACCTATACAACATATCACATAGTCAAACGTAATCTTACAACCATCCTAGCTATATTACATACGAACAATCACCTACAACATATATAGCAGATGGGTCACCGCCGGTGTATCAAGCATATACTACGAATACAAACAGTACAAGTTCCTATTCGACCATACAGTCACCCGAATCTATTGAAACTCAAGTTCATCCAATTCAATCAGCTGAAACTGAAACAGCACACTCAATTGAGGAAATTGAAGAAATATTTGAGAATAGGTCCACTCAATTGCGGAAATAGAGGAAATATTGCAGAATAGGTCCAGCAATTCAATTCGATTAAAATTAAAGATTTGATTAATCATAATAAATAATTTGTCTCATTTACACTATTAATATTTATCTTACCTTAATGTAACGGTCAGCCTTTCTTAAGGAGATATAGCCGTTCTAAGTTTTGTATTTTGCTTGGTAATATAGTCCTTCGTTAAATTCAACAATACATCAAATGATTGTATGGACATTCGATAATATTCGAATGCTTTATCTGGATTATATCTTAGTTGCTTATACAAAGTATGAAATTGCCCAATTTCTAGTCGAAGAGTGTTTAAAGGATGAACCCAATATTTACGCTTTCTTTTTCTATCTTCTTCTAATGTCTCTTAAAAAGCTATCACTTCTATCGGATCCATTACTACCACGCCGCATAAGCGTTGGCAGTCAACTGATAATCTGCCACTGAATATTCAGTATGGCTGCAACGTATGGTAACGGATTGACTCCCGCGGAAGTTCGGCGTCGAAATTTCCGTCAAGTGTGGCGCTGGCCTTACTGTACAGATTGTTTGATTGCTGCAATTCCATATCAGCCAAATCAGCTGCCGGACAAGCCTATTAATTATTGTATAAATATTTAGATTACCCTCATCAAAGACAATGAAACGGTTGCTCAGTCAAATTAAATAGTGCTCTGGTATTAATCCCATTTTATTTGAAAAAATTAAAAAGACTGTATTCGAAAATGATACTCATGATCGACTTTGAAGTCTTATATTTGATAAGATGTCTTTGATTTCCCAAATATTTTATAATAATCAAAAAGATGCATTTTAAGGGTTTGCCACTTCTCAAGTTACAAAATTTTCCGACCATGCTCTTGTTTTTATGGTAAAAGGTTTAAAAAAATATAAAGAGCCGGTCGCCTATTATTTTACCAATAGCTTGCAAAAAAAGAGCTTAAAACTTTGATTGTATGAGTTAAAGCGAGCACTTGCCTTCACATAAATGCACAGAGTATTCCGGCTCATTATTCTGATATGTTAGCTAGCTTTGTAAGTGATAATGTTCATGCAATTCTTGTTTCGGAGTCATGGTTAAAGCCATGTCTTCCATCTATATCCTATTCCATTCCAGGATTCCAGTTAATACGCAACGACCGAACTGCACGGGGTGGTGGTGGTGTTGCCATTTACCTTCGTGCGCATATACCTTTTTCCATTGTTCGTTTATCATCTCAATTTCCAGCTGATAACGAAGCGGAATACTTATTTATTGAAGTGCTTCTTTCGCACAACAAATTACTTTTCGGAGTTTTTTATAGTCCTTCTTCCACAGTTGACCATTTTACCACATTGGATAACCTTCTTGAAGAGCTAACTCCATTATATAAACATACAGTGCTAATGGGCGATTTTAATACTTGCCTTCTTAAGAATGACGCCCGATATCTTCGTCTTAAGTCCCTTATAGAAGCAGCCAATTTAAACATCCTTCCTCTTTCTGAAACTCATTTTTTTCCTAACTGTGTTCCATCCCTCCTTGATTTGGTTATCGTTTCTTCTCTCGACCATGTTGATAAATTTGGTCAATGTGCTGCCAACGCCTTTTCCTATCATGACCTCCTGTTTCTATCTTATAAAATAAGATCACCGAAAGCCAAATCAAGGATACTTCTGCAGCGTAATTTTGAGGAAATGGATTTGGAAAAGCTACAAAAAGACGCTGCTAACATGGACTGGAGTGTTATAACTAAGGCTTGCTCAGTGGACGAACAGGTAGCATTGTTTAATTCATTTCTTGTTCAGCTCTATGATATACATGCTCCTGTCCGCCCAGTGCGAATACGTCATCCTCCAGCCCCATGGTTGACTGAAGATCTTAAAAGATTGATAGTTAGGAAGAATAACGCACAGTCGAGTTACAGGTCAGATCCAAAGAATGACAGGATTCGGGAAAAGTACAGACTCCTGCGGAATCAATGCAACAAGTTGTGTAGAGATTTACGACGCCGTCATATCCATAAATCAGTACAAAACGAAGATCCATGTCGTGTTTGGAACTTTTTAAGGTCCATAGGAGTTGGGAAAACACGTTCATGCCCTATACCAAATAACGTCGATTTAAATTTGCTTAATAAGCATTTTTCTTCTGTTTCTTGCTTGGATAATATGGCAAAATCAACAACACTTACTCAACTTTCATCGTTTCCCACTCCTGACTTTTCCCCATTCGTATTTAGGCAATTTGCAGATTGTGATGTTAGGAAACACATTCTCTCTATCCATTCTGACGCTGTCGGATGTGATGACGTCAGTCGTAAAATGATCATTCCCTTGTTAGATTTTTTAACACCTATTATAACCTTTATCTTAAACTTTTCCATATCCTCATCTTCTTTTACTAACCAATGGAAGGATGCCCAAATCATACCTATACCCAAAAAAGCAAATCCTTCAAGTTTTTCTGAATATCGTCCTATTTCGATTCTTCCTTTCCTTTCCAAAGTCTTAGAACGACTAGTTCAACAACAAATTAATTCCTTTTGTTTAAGAAATAAGATCCTCAACCCTTTCCAATCTGGCTTTAGATCTGGTCATAGTACGACTACGGCGCTATTGAAAATCACGGACGACATTCGCCACGGTATGGAAAATCATCAAGTCACATTATTGGTGTTGCTGGATTTCAGCAATGCCTTTAATACTGTTGATCATGACATCCTGTTATGGATTCTGCGTTCTCTTGACATATCTCCAACTGCAATTACCTGGTTTCATAGTTATTTGTATGGGCGCCGGCAACGTATTCGTGTCCACGATAGACTTTCTTCGTGGCTTGATAAAGTAGCTGGCGTTCCACAAGGTGGCGTCTTATCTCCTCTTTTATTCGCAATCTTTATTAATACGATTACATCCCAAATATCTTCTCTCTACCACTTGTATGCAGATGATCTCCAAATATACTTACAAACAACCATTGAAGATCTTCCCAAAGCAGTGGAATGTATCAATAAGGATCTGACATGTATTCTCGACTGGAGTCGTTCTTATGGGTTAACAGTGAACCCTTTAAAATCCCAAGCCATAATCATTGGGAGTCCAAGAATGATTTGCAAAATAAAAAAATGTCAACTACAACCCGTTGTATATAATGGAGTTCCCATCCCTTATAATGACGTTGTTAAAAATTTAGGTATCCTCTTGGATTCAAGTCTTTCTTGGGCACCCCAAATTAATGCAGTGAGCCGTAAAATGTTTGCAGCTTATGCTTCACTCCGGAGGCTTAATTACTTTTTACCCATTGCCACCAAAATTACGCTTGCACAATCGTTACTACTCCCTATCCTTGACTATGCTGACATTTGTTACCTTGATGTCACCGAGGAGCAACTTAACAAGCTTGAGCGCCTCCAAAATCTCTGTATTCGGTTCATATTTGGACTTCGCAAATATGACCATGACTCAGAATACCGCATTAAGCTCAAGTGGCTCCCAATCCGTCTTCGTCGGAATACTCATATACTTTCTGCTCTCTACTGCGTCTTATTTAATATAGCTAGTCCTTCCTATCTTAAAGAACGTTTTAGATTTCTCAGCTCCTGTCATAATTTTTCCTTACGATCCAAAGAAAATCTTTCCCTCCAATGTCCTGTGCACTTCTCGACTTATTATGACAAATCATTCTCTGTTCTTGGAGTAAGACTTTGGAACTCCTTACCCTAGTCAATTAGAAGTGCTCAATCCTTAAATGTATTCCAGAAACAGATTA